TCCCACTAATAACCTCCCTTTAAAAGAAAATCCGATCAATTCTTGTTCCGCCACTGGAGGCCCTTGCATTATCCAGACGCCAAACAAATCAATGAGGCCACTGGGCTCAGGCTGGTGTCTGCAGAGCCTCGTTTGGTCCAGCAGCACAATGACACAAGTAGGCATTCAGTTGTAGAACGTGACTGAAGATGTCTGAGCTGGTGGGTTGTAGCAACGTTAGTCAACATCTATTTTTCTATGTGGTTCTTCTTTTGTGTTTGACATTTAATTGGAGGTTGAAGCATTGTTTTATGGTTTACAGCGAGGCTGCGATATTTACCCCCTTTCCGAGCAAAAAATCAGATTTCGACAAACCGCTAATTAGTCACACTTTTGTCACTTGAGACGAGAAAGTGAATTATTTACAGCTTAATAAATCATATCTTGGTATACGGAAGTAAATCATGGACAGTTGGTAGAAAAGTGAAAAATTATTAGGAAACTGCAGAGATGTGGTTTTATAGGCGAATAAGGAGAATACACTGACAGATACAAAGAGTAATGAAGATGTCTTGAAAGAAACTGACTCACGAAAAGAACTCATTGATCACATAAAACAAAAAGACAATCTACATTCTGTGTCATGTGAGGATATGGACAAAAACTGGAGTATATCGTGACAGCACAAAAGTTGGAGAAAGGCTGGGGGGAGGGGGGGGGGGAAAGACCGAGAAGAGAGATTCTGGACATTTTGACATCATGGCATAGAGTATCATCTGTGACAGAGTTGACTGAAAGTACAAGAGACAGAAGGTTGTGAATAGACATGACTACCAACGCCACATGGCATGGACTATGGAAGATCATCTGTGTCACAGTTGACTGAAATTACAAGAGACAGAAGGTTGTGGATAGACATGACTACCAACGCCACATGGCATGGACTATGGAAGATCATCTGTGTCACAGTTGACTGAAAGTACAAGAGACAGAAGGTTGTGGATAGACATGACTACCAACGCCACATGGCATGGACTATGGAGGATCATATGTGTCACAGTTGACTGAAAGTACAAGAGACAGAAGGTTGTGGATAGACATGACTACCAACGCCACATGGCATGGACTATGGAAGATCATCTGTGTCACAGTTGACTGAAAGTGCAAGAGACAGAAGGTTGTGGATAGACATTACTACCAACGCCACACGACATGGACTATGGAAGATCATCTGTGTCAGAGTTGACTGAAAGTAAAAGAGACAGAAGGTTGTGGATAGACATGACTACCAACGCCACATGGCATGGACTATGGAAGATCATCTGTGTCAGAGTTGACTGAAAGTAAAAGAGACAGAAGGTTGTGGATAGACATGACTACCATCGCCACATGGCATGGACTATGGAAGATCATCTGTGTCAGAGTTGACTGAAAGTAAAAGAGACAGAAGGTTGTGGATAGACATGACTACCAAAGCCACATGGCATGGACTATGGAAGATCATCTGTGTCAGAGTTGACTGAAAGTAAAAGAGACAGAAGGTTGTGGATAGACATGACTACCAACGCCACATGGCATGGACTATGGAAGATCATCTGTGTCAGAGTTGACTGAAAGTAAAAGAGACAGAAGCTTGTGGATAGACATGACTACCAACGCCACATGGCATGGACTATGGAAGATCATCTGTGTCAGAGTTGACTGAAAGTAAAAGAGACAGAAGGTTGTGGATAGTCATGACTACCAACGACACATGGCATGGACTATGGAAGATCATCTGTGTCAGAGTTGACTGAAAGTAAAAGAGACAGAATGTTGTGGATAGACATGACTACCAACGCCACATGGCATGGACTATGGAAGATCATCTGTGTCAGAGTTGACTGAAAGTAAAAGAGACAGAAGGTTGTAGATAGACATGACTACCAACGCCACACGCCATATATAGACTTTAGGGAAAAGAAAAAGAAGTCACTTTTTACGACATGGTGTCAAGAGGACTTTTCTTCAATACCCCCTCCCCAAAACCACCAAAACTGGCGCCCCGAAACCCTAAGGGTAACTGAACATGTAAAAGCTAGTAGTTGCATTAGAAATCGACATCATAGCACTCGGGACACTCCTATAAGCGCTCCAGTCCCTATCTTTAGCTGCAAGCATAGAGTTCCAATTTAGATGCCTCTAGTCACAGTCTGATAGTATATCTGTCTCGCCTTTCCCTTGAGTGTTGAACGTCGGCCAAATCCTCAAGTAACTCCCCGCAGTGCCATTCTCCTCAATCGTAACGATCTATTTCTGCCTCCGCACTGTTCACTCGCTCCCAAAGGGATCTCGCAACATCTAGTTCGTCTAAATCAAGTCATTACTTAGTGGCGCAAAACCAGCAAGTTTGTCTGCCTGCTCGCTTCCCAACACACCAGTATCCACAGGGAAAATATCCAAAGGACAGTAACTACCGGGGACCTCTGAAGCTGTGTTTGCCATACCGCTGGTTGAGATTTGCGTATCATGTGTTCTAACAGAGGTCAGCCACGAAAGCTATGAATAGATGGAATATCCGAGTCCATAAATACCAGTATCAACGTAGCACCTTCGGACATCCCCGATGCTTGCCGAACAAAAATTAATGCTGAAATGACTTGAGAAGTAGAAGAAGAAGTGCCATAACAGTAGGAGATAAGATAGCATACTGATTACAGCGTTACGTTGTTGACAATTTATTCTTCTGACGGTACGCAACCGAACGCAGTACTGGCACATTTTTAAGGTACTACTTTTTCAACGGTTCTTAACAGACAGCTTAGAATAAAATCAGAAAATTAAGTATACTATGCCTTACAACATCTGTTAAAGTTCCTGTGTCGTAACATCAACATCAAAATGTATAAAAGGATGATAAGACCAGTTGTATCATATGGTTCCGAAACTTGGAGCAAAAGTAAAAGAGACTTCTCCTTCTTCTTCTTCTTCTCTGCGTTCACTGGCTGTAAACGGCCGCAGAATGTTCTTGTTGTTGGTCCACTTTTAGACTGCAGTCCTGTTTCAGAACCAAAGTGTTGCGTGTGCATCCGTTTGACAGATCTGACTCATTTGTTTGTAGACTGTTGGTTTTTTTCCTCTCAGGCAGATGCACTCCAACTTAGGAGGAAACTCTCAATTAGTCGACTCTTACGACATGCTTTGGGTAGGCATTGGGTTTATTCTTGTTTTCCCTATAATAGGGCCCCGGAACCCACACAGGGAAAAAAGGCGAAGCCTTATTATTACAATGTTTCCTAAGACAGAGTCTTACTTTGAATGTTTGGACCCATTACAGATGGAAACAGCAGAGAATGGAGAGCCATAAGTAAAACCGACATTTATAATCTGTTTAAAACATCATTGACCACTGGCCTCACGAGAACTAATAGACTAAAATGGCTGGGGCAAATTGAGAGAATGTCAAATGACAGAGAAGTAAAAACTGTATATACAAGCGAGCTGAATGGTCGTAGACCACGAGGCGGAAAAAGAAGACCGTGGAGTGATAATATGCAGACATACCAAATAGAAAGAAAAGGCCAACCAGAGAGAAGAACGGGTGCGGGGTATACTCTTCTACAAAGAGGGCAAGAAGTGTAACTCACTGAGATTACAGATGACATGACAACATTACCTGATAAATGACATGACGATATTACCTGATAAATGACATGACGACATGGCATGCCAGCAGACATGATAATTATGACTAATTCAATGGTCGGTATTTATTTCCTGTGGCCACTCGTGTGTCAGATTTTCTAACGGCCAGATAGAAATGCGAACTTTATCTGATATAACGTCATTTCAACATTTAATCAAATTAGATATCAAGTTTGCATATTTTTGCATGCAATATTTTTTTTTTATAAGTTAAGTCAAACATGACTGAACTAAAAGTCTGGCTACATGTTCTGATGAATGAAGCATGAATAAGTTCTAACACTTGAGTTTTGGGAGCAAGGAATATGCAGATCCTCGAGGCATCTCTGGCACATGATTCTACTCCTTTTCCCGCCTTCTGCTATATTTTGGTTGCTATGACGCAACAGTCCTTTTCACCATTGTTGAATACAGGTACTCATAACTCCAACCCCCCCCCCCCCCGGCCATAAGCCCTCCCCTCCCCCGGCCATACCTCCCCCCCCGGCCATAAGCCCCCCCCCCCCACCGCTCCCTCACACTTACAACAATCGCTGAAAAAATTATAAAATACAAAAGACTTTTACGAAAGCCGTCAATAAACAGGCCACGAACGCAGAAAAGGCGAGAATCAATCTGATTGGCTGGTACGCAAACCTGCTAGCCAATCTTAAGGCTTGTATCATAGAGGTGATTGATCGGCCCATTCGCCTTGTGTGTGTGTGTGTGTGTGTGTGTGTGTGTGTGTGTGGCTATTCTACTGTTTGGCCGACAGATCTCCCGGGTCGTCTCCAAAGAGTTAAGTGACTTGTGTTTTCTTGTTCGTACTTGTAGATTTATGTGATGTGCTGATGAAGGCCTTATAGCCGGAACGTTCACTTGACGTTTGTGTCTGAGACCCGTTCTACTTTGAGAAAACACTGGACACTATTTTAGACAACTTCAGGCGCACTCTGTAAAAGAAAACATGCACATAAAAAATTCTGCACTTTCAACCAGCATCCCCGAAATGGAGCTTTTGGTTATAATTGTGACCTAAGTTTTTTTCGCCACATAAAATGGCTTAGTTTTGCTCGCTAACGAATAGCCGTGAAAAGGATTCTTGATTCGATCAGAGGAGACAAACCCAAATACTGTCTCTACCGGACGATCTACTGGCCAGCCAATGGGCGAGCCGGTCGGTCTACTGGCCAGCCAATGGGCGAGCCGGTCGGTCTACTAACCAGCCAATAGGCGAGCCGGTCGGTCTACTGGCCAGCCAATGGGCGAGCCGGTCGGTCTACTAACCAGCCAATAGGCGAGCCGGTCGGTGATGATATCATCCAAAACAGGAAACCAAGACAACAAGAATGTCTCACCTGTACTTTGTCCCACAGTCCACCTTTGTCAGCCAAGCCCAGGCTTTGTCCCAGTTGGAGCAGGTGGCTGGGACCCGCCTCAAGACATGGACCTTCTTGGCGGGATATTCTTGGATTCTGCTTTAGAAGACAAATCGGATATAGAATGTTAGTTTTAGGCAATGTTTTTTGCCTATGTTAGTTCACATTTATGGATAACCTCTTCTTCTTCTTCTTCTTCTTCTTCTTCTTCTTCTTCTACTTTTTCTTCTTCTTCTTCTTCTTCATCTTCTTCTTCTTCTTCTTCTTCTTCTTCTTCTTCTTCTTCTTCTTCTTCTTCTTCTTCTTCTTCTTCTTCTTCTTCTTTTTCTTCTTCTTCTTCTTCTTCTTCTTCTTCTTCTTCTTCTTCTTCTTCTTCTTCTTCTTCTTCTTCTTCTTCTTCTTCTTCTTCTTCTTCTTCTTCTTCTTCTTCTTTTTCTTCTTCCCTATTGTGGGTGGGAGTTGTGGGAGTTGTGGGACGGGGTGGGGAAGGGGGAAAATGAATAGATCCACTTCCCCCAAAACAAGCATGTCTTAAAAGTTTTCTTCAAAGTCGGAATGCATCTTTATGAGAGGCAAGGAAAAAAGCAATTCAGATATTATAAACGGATCTGCACGCAAGGCTCATAGTGTGAAAGAAGACTAAAGTCTAGAAGTGGATGAACAGCCAGAACTTTCCACTTGAGGTTCCAGCCAGTGGACGCACAGAAGAACAGGAAGATTATATTAGCTTTTTACTGTTATGGCCCAATTGACAATCGATGGAGAATGTTGTAAACATTGACTTTACTTCCGAGAACATTTCCTGATAATCATCTGTCATGACGTCAATTACAGGAATGTTACACCTGAGTCTCTCTCTCTCTCTCTCTCTCTCTCTCTCTCTCTCTCTCTCTCTCTCTCTCTCTCTCTCTCTCTAGCTCTCTCTCTCTTTCTTTTTCTGGCCGATTCTCCAACCCTATGTGCTTCAATGTTTTCTATCCACTTTCACAGAGGACTGCCGCTGTTCCAGTTTCTTGAAAATGTAACTTCTTCACCGTTCTCTCTAGGCCGCCAATATGACCAAAAAAAGGCAGCTTTCGGGACAGGATGCTGTTTACCTGCCAAATATTCTACATCCTCACAGAGCACTTTAATATTTGCAATGCCGGACACCCAGAAAGGATGAGGGTTTGCGCGTGGGACAAGCTCTTCACCCTGTCAATAAACGTTGCTTCAGACACTCGTATGAGATTAATCTGCATACCCCAAGGGGTGGTATGTGGGCTACTTGTACGCTTCATTTCTCTTGATGTTAATACATTGTGCATGTTTTTCTTGGGCAAACACTTATTTCTAGAAGATCCCGTATATCTAAGTGACCACTAAAGCCTTGGTGGTCATTTATGTTGAGACCACCATCTATGCTTTTAAAGAAAAAAAAATAAAAGCTTTTTGACCAAATGACCCAAAAGAAAATCACACAAAAATTACAATAAATGATAAAGAAATTGAAAATGTCACAAACTATAGTTATCTAGGTTCTATAATAAACAGCAAAGGAGATGGTTGAACAAAAGGCAAAAGGAGGTTGCTCATAGCAATACAAAGATAAAGCAGCATTAAAGCTCTATAGTTAAGCACCGACCAGGAAATCACAATTAACATGTTGAGAGCATGAATCTTCCCTGTAGCAACATATGGAAACGACCCGTGGACTATCTCCCTGTCCTTGAGGAAGAAAATAGTGTCTGTTGATCTTAAATGCTATAGAAAGCTTCCCAGAATACTATGGACAAAGTATAAATTTTTAACATTCTAAAAGACCTAAACATCAAGGAAGATTGGCTAATAAACAGCATCTTGTCTCAGAAGCATAAACCAATATAGCCATAACAAGCGCCAGGGAGGATTAGACGAAATAATAGCATAAAACATGATACCGGAAAGGAGGGGCAGAGACCGACCAGCACGAAGATGGACATAGTATATAAACGACTCCTTTATTGTGAAAGTACATTAGGCGGGAGAACTGGCGAGAGACCGAGTTTCTTTTCAGACAGACCATGATGAGAGGAAAGTTCTGTAAAGCTCCTGGCTACATGCGGATAACGGTGATCATATAATCAGGTAAAATTATTGTAAAGCTTAAAGGCTAGGCCAACGTGGACAGTAAACTTACGGAACTGCTCTGGTACATCTCTCGGCAATCACCATGGCAACCATGAACAGCTGTAGGATTCCAGCGTTAACCATGTTGGAGAGAATATTATTAACGGCAGGAAAGAGGAATGTTTTAGCCATACGCCTTGCAACTTCAACTCGGGAAACCTGATTACGTTCTCATTAGTGGCACAATCAGAGTTGACACCGTATAATATGAGTTAACACCGGCGAGTCAGGTTTTAATGCGTGTAGCGTAGAGTAGACACCTGGCGGTGGAAGATGACTCCTCGCAGCTTGAGTTGACACCCCAAAGTTAAGAGTTGACACTCGTGCAACTGAGTTTTGGCATCCGTTAGTCGAGAGTTGATGCTTGAAGTTAGAGCTGACACCGGAAAGTTCAAAGTTGACACTTTGTAACTAGGAGTTGATAGTGCTTGAGTATTAGTTGACGCCAGTTGTTAGACAATCGTTGTTGCAAATTTGAATGCTTATAACGAGTTACAACTTTGTTGAGAATGCTATGTAGTCTCTGTTGTTGTCATTAAAATGAGCGTAAGAAATGTTCTTCGAATGTTCTGGCCAATTAAAATCTTGAATTATGCACATTCTTTAAACCACCTGAATATAAAACGTCTTGTTTTCCCAGACCTCGCGGTTTCTGAAGAAATGCAGGATCTGAAATGTACCAGAAAAAAAAATGTTTAATTATCATTTAAAGAGGTTACTGTAAATAAGAAATGCAAATTAAAAAGGACATTGTATTTAATCAATCAATTTAGCGAGGAGAAATTGATTAGGGGAAAACACACATTAAGATTAAAAAAAGATTTTTTCTCAGAATATTTGTGCACCATATTACATTATGATCCACAAAGCCTGCTTGTGCAAAATTTCAGCTCGATAGCTTATGGGAGAATTTGTGTGAACATTGATCACAATGTCCACCTTAGAAAAACATATAAACATATATACAAAGCCAAACTTAATAACGGCTTTCTATACAGAAAAAAAAGATTTTAAAATCGTAAGATTTTGAGATGTTTTGGTTTGGTTTTGGTACCATGCCTTCCGTGAGCTCACAGAACAGAAATCTCCTTCTTCTTCTCTCTATCGCTTGAAATAAATTATCTATTTCTGCAATGTTGTCTCTAGTATAAACTTCACTGTCTTTTGTAATTCACTCAGCGACCGGTTAAGTTTGACTTGCACTAATGTTTCTCATGGCCAAAAGTGTTGCCTTGCTATGTTGTATTTGGGACAGTCTTGGATGACATGATCTGTTGTCGCAGGTGCCAATCCACATGTACACATGGCTGATTCACCGATTTTAAATTGTGTGTACATGTGGCTGCGAAGTCGATTGTGTCCTGTTCTAAGGCGTAGAATAATAATTTGCTCTGGTCTGTCCATAATATGGTAATCGTTTTGTGCCGGTTTTAGTGGCTTTCTGATTGATTTGTTTATTCTGTTCTTTTGTTGATAAGAGACTCGTACGTCAGGTTGTTCTTCATTTGTATCTTCCTTAGAGTAAAGAAATGAAAAGAATAGAAAGTGCTCAAAGCTTCAACTTCCTAAGTCCTGTCTTTTAGCGTCATGCCTTGAAGATGCTTCGAATGTAAGCCTTGGTATGTGCTACGTAGATTCTGGTACTTACAGCCTCAGATATTCCCTCTGTCCGTCGCTGGCCTAGTCGACCCCAAGGTCCAAAGTGATTTGGCTCTCTGCTTTGTAATATCTGTCGGTAGTCTTGACAAATGTCCGAATCATTTGATCTTTTGTCTCTTAATTAGGTTCAGTGATGGTTCTGTCCTAGCTTCTTTCCTGTTATCTGTCACCATTTCTTATCCTGTCTCTTTTAATTACTTTCGGCATTCGTCGTAGACGGGAGCCGTCGTGGTTTAGCGGCTAGCCTCTCGCCTGCGGATCGGAAGATTGTGGATTCGGTTCTTGTTGGGGGCCGGATTTAGAAAAAAAAAAAAATTTTTCCAAATAAACTTATCTCGATGGTCGACCCAGTCGTGAGTATCTACCAGGCACAGTCCTGGGAAGTAAAGGCTGCTATCTTGGTGGTGACCCCATCACCCACCAAGTGCTGTTTGTTCTATAAAAATATAGGTCTAGCCATAAATACCCAATACGTTTGAAAGGCGTGGAAAAGGGTACTTTAGTTACTTATTCGTCATAGTTGTTGTTTTTCTTTGTTTTTTATTTCGTTACTAAAGTCCATGTTTGACACTGGTAACACATTGTTGGCATGGCAAATAACACTGTATTGAACAGTGCCATTCTAGGGTCAATTGTTTCATGTTTGTTTTGCATTATTGCTGACATATGTACGGTGAAGTTATCTGCATTATTACATTTGTACTCTATTTCCGCTGGATGGGCTGAAACGATGACTTAGAGGGATATAATCAAGAGAGTTGTCCTAGGCAACCAGGAATCGTGATTTGTGAAGATGGATGAGCGCCTACGCCAGTTGGCAGGGCACATTATGATGATGATGAATATTTCTAGAAATGCAGATCAATACTCATACAGCTGCTTATATCGCCTGTAATCTACAAACTCAAACTCAAATCATAAATTGTAGCTCTTTTCAGACTACAAGGAATCGGAAGTGACGTTGTTACAATGGCGTCGTATTGATTACGTGAGATGGTGCCGAATAATGGCCGGCAATGAAATCTGAATAACGGCCTAAATCGACAGGGACAGGCGAAGGAATGGCTGGCCGCCTTGATAACCCTGCGTTTAATTTTAGAATCCGAAGCGGTTGGTGTGTCTGTGGTAGGATTAACAAGATGCTAGATAGACACGTGGATCGTGCAGATGTAGTGTCAGAACAAAGATACTGAACTGTGGGGAAGACAAATGGTTCTATCCCAATGTCTCCCCCCAAACAATAGGTGGTAGATAGGCTGCTTGCAGTCATGGGACCTAGGCTGCACTCTGTCGTAGGACCTAGGCTGCACTATGTCGTAGGACCTAGGCTGCACTCTGTCGTAGGACCTAGGCTGCACTCTGTCGTAGGACCTAGGTGGGTTGGGGTTAGGCCCAGTTCTAGATGATTTAGAGTAGTTAAAAGCATTAGAAAGCCGGGATGCTCGATCTTACCACGCTCGAAAATTGTGGACTGTCCCGTGACGTCATCCTAGGGGAAGATACCGGGAAAAAACCCAGAATTGGAGCAAAGACAAATGAAAGAATAAAGAAAGAGAGAAATAATGAAGAAAGACACAAGGAGAGAAAGAACGAAGAAATAAATAAATATGTTAAGAAAAGGTGAAATAAAGGAAGAATGACGAAAAAAAAAGAAAGAATTAAATGCCACAGGATAGGAAAGCGTTGCAATAGGCAAAGGGAGACCGTGGGACTGAATGGGAGACAAGACAGACATACAAATAGACCAGAAGACAAACAGTCGACCACAACTACAACTATGAGGCACGTTAGGTAGTTCATTCAGTGTGCAGATTGTCAGATCAGACTGGACAGTAATAAACAGAGTCCGACAGAATAAACTAACACCTCCTTCTTCAGCATTCCCAGCCCTTGAGGTGCATTGCTGCATATACCACCCCCTCCATTCACCTCTTTGTCTTTCTTCTTCAGCATTCCGGGCCCTTGAGGTTCATTGTTGCAGATACCACCCCCTTCCTTCATCTCTCTGGTTGGCCTTCTCTTTCCAGTTGGTGACACCAAGTGTTTGCAAGTCTGCCTAGACATCGTCTTCTTGGTCTGCCTCGTCGTCTACGACCATTCACCTTCCTGGTGTATACAGTTTTAACTTCTCTGTCATTTGACATTCTCTCAATATACCCCAACCATTTCAGTCTATTAGCTCTCATGATATCAGGGTGGTGATTTAAACAGATTATGAATTTGCTTCTCACTCTCCATTCCCAGTTTGCATCTTTGATGGGTAGAATAAACGAACTGTATCTGGTCCCCCCCCCCCTCCTCCCCTCCCACCCAGGGGTACAGATTCGGCATTCGGCCCTTCCAAACACTCATCTTTAAGACTTTAAGATTGACAGGACAATTGTCTTGACATCGACCTGGCTGCCACAAGATACACAGATAAGTGATTATCTGTATTTGTGTAATATTGTGCAATCAATTTATGTTCTGAAGAAGGTTCCATGGTCGCAGCTTTCAGGTATTGTTTGTGTTTGTTACATTGTGAAGCTAGCTAGGTTTAAATTTTTTTCTTGATATCTTTAAGAAATTAATTGTATGTTATCAATAATGTATGTTATGTTTATTTCAAAATATACATAATGAATATAAGGTTTACAAAACATAAAACACAGACGAACACACAACAGACGGACACACAGACAGGCAAGTGAACATATAAACAGAATGAGAGACTGAAGAGTGGATGAATTATTTGATTGAAAAAAAAGGCATTTTGCTAGTGAAATAGACAATAGAAAATTGAGACAAACAAACAGACACTAGACCGATATACTGCTATAAATATAGACAGACACAAAGACGGACAAATAAAAATCAGTAACTATGTGTGTGTTTGTGTGTGTATACACCTAATTTTACCACCAACAAAATGACAGCCATTGGGCACACGAAGCTTTGTTGAGTTATAGAAAAGAAAAAATCCCAGCAATTGATAAAAACACCGGCGAACATTATCGATTGCTTTGTGTTTTCAGTTAAATCCGAGTGAATCGTTATTTCTAGGTGGAAATAACACATACTGTAGGATTGTGGGAATGGTTTCTGTTATTTTCAGTTATTGCATTTACCCATTAAGTTCTTGTTGATAGCTGTTGTAAATATTTCATTAATTAAAATAATGCCTCCTCTGTATGGGTCCCGGGTCCCATTGAGGGGGTCTACCAGAATAGACCCACTGCCTCCCTAACAAGCATGTCGTAGCGGTCGACGAACTGCGAGTTTTCCTTCCAAGTAAGAGTGCATCTGCCTGAGAGGCAAGGAACCAACGGTCTGCATACAGTTACGTCAGATCTGTAAATTAGGTGGACACGCAAAATGTAATTCCTTGGACACAGCCAAAGTCTAGAAATGAATGAACAACCAGGACTTTCCGTTGGGAAAGTTGGGTGAAGGTCCACCCAAACACACACAAATTACTATGTGTATTTAAAGTC